GAGAGAGAGAGAGAGAGAGAGAGAGAGAGAGAGAGAGAGAGAGAGAGAGAGAGTGTTGTACATAGTGGACTGTTTGTGTTGGATTGTTGTTGTTGGTATGGTGTAAGTTTTTGCTTTAGGAAATCTGCCACGGACAGGTGAGTGTCGCTCCGCGGGGATTCCATCATGGTGGGCGGCGGGGTCTCTTTGGGAGCCGACACAGATGGGTGGAGTAGTTTAATACCCTGAATCGCGAGGAGGAGGGTGGGTTTGCGGGGTCTTCGACCCCTGCCGCGCGGGTGGTGGGGTATCACTGCTGGTTTATGAAGATATTGGGTTTGGTTACATATTCGGGTCGAGCAATCGTGGCTTTGGCTTCCATCTTTTGTTGACAGGATTTGGTTTCTGTAGTTATCTGAGTTCTTTTTCGCCGTTTTGGGTAATAGCTGTCATAATTAGTTGCGACTCTTGTGTAGCGTTTTGCATGCTATGGAATGAAAGAGAGAGTGCCGCTCTGTAGAAACGCCATTATGGTGGGCAGTGGGGTTTTCTTGTGAGAAGGTGCAGATTAGTGGAAGTGGTTTTCCCTAAATCGCGAGGAGGCGGGTGGGTTTGCGGGGTCTTTGACCCCTGCCACGCGGGAGGTAGGGTATTGCCGCTGAGACGTCGAATTTGGGTCAGATATTCATTTCATCTTAATAGGCTGCTGTTTGCTGTCATCTGAATTCTTAAAGAGAAGTGGTGAGCATTGCTCCACAGGGGCTTCGTCATGGAGGGAGGCGAAGCATCCGTAGGGGGTGTATGTACATTGAGGGAGAGGCTTACCCTAAATCGCGAGGAGGTGGGTGGGTTTTGCGGGGCTTTTTAGCCCCTGCCGCGGGGGAGGTAGGGTAATCCCCTGGTTAGTGAAAACAGCATCATGGTGGGAGTTGGTGTTTTTGTATTGAGGAGTGTGGGGAGGTGCTATCCGCTTTAAATCGCGAGGAGGTGGGTGGGTTTGCGGGGTCTCTGTCAGCAGTTTGGGGCCTGTGGGCACAGACCCCTGCCGCGTGGGTGGTAGGGCGGATTGGCAGGGGTTGGTAATAACTCCAGATGAATGCTGGACATGATCATGCAGCGCTGACCACTCGTTTCTTTTTTGTGGTTTTGAATTTTCTTCGGTAGTTTCTTTTGCACATGATTTCTTAATGGTCGGTGGAATATAGGTCACTAAATTAGGGTTCACATGATTATTGTGATTATATTTTTTAGTGATGAACTTTAGACTTTGATGATAAATTTCGTTGGTTTTTCAGTGGTAGGGGCTGTGGATTTGGCTGTGGAGTTGGCTGCAGGGTGAAATCTAGTGGTACCCTCGATGTGCTTGGCCGTTGATGCTTTGCCCGCCGAGGGCCCCACCTAAGGCAGAAAAACGAATTCCAAAAAATATAAGAAAATCCAACAAAGCTGAACAAACACGAGGAAAATTTAAACAAAGAGCAGAGGAAAAAGACTTGAAACGTGCTCAAGAAACACCAGAAAAGCTTTCCAATAACCAAAAGACACACACACACACACACAGACAGAGAGACAGAGAGAGAGAGAGAGAGAGAGAGAGAGAGAGAGAGAGAGAGCTGTCTCTTATACACATCTAGATGTGTATAAGAGACAGGAGAGAGAGAGAGAGAGAGAGAGAGAGAGAGATGTGGCAGGGGTCAATGAAAGGGCATTTGCGGTGAAAGAGTTGATGGCGAGAGCAGCAAGCTGGAGATGAAGATCTCTCAGACAGCAGAGAGCATACAAGCCCCATTTTCAAAAGAACTCGATCTGTTGATGACGCAAAGGTGCTGTAAGAGGGAAAAAAAAAGGAAAAAAAAGGTGTTGTGCCGAATATATATATATACAGAAAGCCTGCTGACAGCGAGGTCTGCGAGGGGATCGATCTGGTAAAGAGGGTGGGCCCTGCCCTCACACTCAGACAGTAGGCTTTGATTGTGATTGTAGACTGTATGGGTCTGTAATACTCGGTAGGGCCCCCCACCCATGGACCATAGGAATTGTCAACACCACATGTTAAGGGCTGGGGGGCAGCCCATTGGGTCTATAATACTCTGTAGCCCCCTCTCCCCCCTCCCCCCCCCCACCCTTCCATGGACCATATGCATTGTCAGCACCATCTGTTAAGGGCTGGGGGGGACCCCAAAAGAAAGAACAATGGGGGAGGAGGAGGTATTTGCAGGGGGAGGCAAGGAAGCTTCGGATGGATCGGGCTGTGCCCCCCCCCCTCCCCTCTCCCCAACTTAAGGTAAATATTAACAAAAACCTGGGAAGAGGGCAGATAAAGTTCAAGGGTTAATGACGTGGAAGGGGGGGGGTTACTCCCACCAAATCGAACGGAAATCAACCCCTCCCAACGCTATGGGTGAAGACGGGGTACAGGTGGAGAAGGTGGGGGGAAGGGTGTGTGTGTGTGTGTGAGGGGGGGGGGTTACTCCCATCAGTCCTCCAGGGGCGCTCCACGCCCCCCCATCAGGGACCGAAGTAGAATCTGATGACAACAGAGCACCATCTCTCCTTCTCTCTACTCGATGGAAAGAGGAGATCTTGTTTGCTGCCGGCAGCCTACAAAGCACACGGAATCTGGAAGTGTTCATGGGGGGAGGATGGGCCAGGCTCCACAACTCAACAGTCGACATGTATCTAGACTGTCAATTGACCAGATACCTTTGGACTGATTGAAAATTTTGAATGTACTAGGAACATTTCCAAGTCCAGATGCGTTTAGAATTTGCGCCGTGGAGCGAGGTCCGGTAAGTCCCCCTCTGGCTCGATTGAGTGAAAACGAGACCAAGTTGCCTGCCAGCTACAGTCTTCCCCCGAATACAACGTACGGTCATTATAGCTGAATTTGGGGCATCTTCCAGTCTAAATTCAGCTATAATTGCCTGCCAGCTACAGTCTTCCCCCAAATATAACGTATGGTCATTATAGCTGAATTTGGGGCATCTTTCAGTCTAAATTCAGCTATAATGACCGTACGTTGTATTCGGGGGAAAACTGTAGCATTCGGAGCAGAAGAGAGAAAAATAATCAGCGCTCGCAGGATTCCTAAGGTACCGTCTTTACCCCGAATAGAACACCTACCGTCTTCCACCCGAATAGACCACCCGGTCATTACTGCTGTGTTTAGGGCAACTTCTTCTTCTTCTTTTTTGTTTTTGTTTTTTGTTTAGGGTGATTTTCAGTTTCCGTACAGCGATAAGGACAGGGCGTTCTATTCGGGTGGAGACGGTAGTCGTTATAGCTGTATTCGGGCCAATGTTTTGTCTAATACAACAACACTGATTGGGCATTCTACTCGGGTGTGAAATGTGAAATTTCACCTCGGGTGAAGGTGGTAAGTGAAATTTCAAGATCAAGACACAGAGGAGCAATCTGGCATGAGGGAGGTGCACAGGGATGCGGAAGAGGAAGCCTTGGGCACCGGGCCCACAGTCTTACGCACTGGGCCCAACAGCGACCAGCCTCGCTGAGCCTCTTCGGTACTGTATGGGCCTCGCTCCACTACACAACACACTGAACATCATTTGCAGAGGTGATTGGCTCCCCCAAACGGACGGACAGAGATGGGACGATTTTCAAGTTAGGGGGTACTTCTGGGATAAACGTGTAATTACTAATTACTAATTAGTAATTACTGTGGCTCCCGCAAAAGTCATTTGCCCCTAAGGCAACCTGTACCCAAGAAAAGCCCTCCAAATCAAAAATAAAAATAAAATAACAGTACCCAAGAACAGCCCTCCAAATCAATAATTAATAATAATTTAGTACTTGGACGAGCTCCCTGGACTGTTGAAATACAGACCAGGTGCTGAGTTTGAACTCCACAGGAAGCAGATAATAAAATACGACAATACTGGTTAAAAACAACAACAACAACAACAACTTGGGCTGGTGAGTTCAATGACGATATCTCAAGGCCATCGCCCTCTGAAAGAAAAGAAGGGGGTGGGGGGGGAAAGACCGCTGCAATTCATGGACTGGCATACCCCCTCTTCTTGAGCATGGTCTCACTAGCAACGGGGATTGGATTAAGATCCTGAATCTGGGCGTGTTTTAGGCGGATCTGCGGAAAAGGAATTCAATCTCGATTTTCTGCACTTGTCCACAAACGAGGTCAAACTAAGGCGTTCAATCCAAACCTTCTTTGCTAGTGGGACCTCGCCCCTTGTGTTCCGACTCAGGACATGCTGGATTTATATTTTGGCCATGCTTCGGGATCTAACACCTGATGTCAGAAAGATGATTTATGTGAACTGATGTGGGTTGTAAGAATACCCTGCAAAGATCTGGTGTATATTGTCAGACTACCCTGCAATGATCGGAGTTATATTGTCAGATTAATGTCAGATTAACCCGCAAAGATCGGGTGTATATTGTCAGATTACCCCGCAAAGATCGGGTGTGTATATTGTCAGATTACCCCGCAAAGTTCATGTGTATTATTGTCAGATTACCCCCGAAAGATCTGCTGGTTGCATATTCTCAGATTACCCCTGCAAAGATCTGGTGTATATTGTCAGATTACCCTTGGAAAGATCCGGTTGTATATTGTCAGATTACCCCACAAAGATCTTGTGTATATTGTCATATTACCCCGCAAAGATCGGGTGTGTATATTCTAAGACTACCCCGCAAAGATCTTGTGTATATTGTCAGATTACCCCGCAAAGATCTAGTGTGTATATTGTCAGATTACCCCGCAAAGATCTGGTGTGTATATTGTCAGATTACCCCGCAAAGATCTGGTGTAAATTGTCAGATTACCCCTGCAAAGATCCGGTTGTATATTGTCAGTTTACCTCTGCAAAGCTCTCGTGTATATTGTCTGATTACCCTGCAACAATCTGATTGCATATTTGTCAGATTACCCCTGCAAAGATCTGGTGTTTATTTCCAGGTTACCCCTGATGCAATCAGACTATCTTCATTCACACTCCACATGCATGCAAACAGGTTGCGCGGCAAACTGGCGTCAAGCGCCCCCCTCAAAACTCAGAGATATAGTACCAAGAACGCAGCTCAGATACAAGTTCACTTCAACTGGCTATGGCGGCACATTGCCTGTACAACTCTCTGTTCGTCACTTACTCGACACCGCTGTTCGCACACAGGATCACCCTGGATACCCCACACGCGTCACTCTGCACACTCGCACACACCCACACACACCGACAGCTATGGCGACTATGGCCGCTACTACTCTACCGCTATGGCTAACTTCCTTCTCGCCCACTTCGTCCTCGGGCTCACTGCAGACCACCTCGCACAAGTTGCTATGGCAGCGCTTCCGCATGGTTCACGCAGGAATGAATGCATGGCTGGGCGCTGCCTCTTGATTTATACTTCTGTAACTCGCTGGTCTGCCCTTTTCCATCGGCCCATCGTGCACACAGTCCCTCATGGTACTTGCTGGACTGGACTGGGACTGACTGGACCTGTACCGCTGACTGCATGGGTTTGCACAGCAGATTCACTGCAGTCGCACTGCCAACGTACTGAGGTTGGCTCCACCACTTGCCCACTTGCCTCTGTCTAAACGTGAGCCCACTCCGAAAGGCCACTTCCGGGACCTTCCGGAAGTCTGTGGACTTGGCCTTTCGGGTACTGTAGTAGCTACGACCTTGACCTTTCAGGACTGTAGCAGCTACGACCTTGACCTTTCAGAATACATATAGCTACGACCTCTACAAGGCTGGAACTCCTACTTGACAGATCTACAGATCGAACCCCTACCACTACACAGACCTACGCCAGACAAACAACAACTAACAAAACTCAGGTCACAGGTTCAAACACTCAGGGGTCAACTCGATACTGCAAGGAAGATGAGCAAAAGCGAACTTCAGCAATCAAACAGCATCATACATATGAGACCAGATAGTCGTGACCTCGAACCAACAGCAGAATTGCATCAC